TTCTTTATTTTCTTTTAGCAAACTAAAACTTTAGTGCAAATGATTAAAGATATTGAAGAAGTAAAATACCAGCATGATCAGATTTCTATTTTTAAACATATCAAAAGCTGAATAAAAGTTTTTATGTCTAGTGGTGTGAAAGATGCAAATGAATTTAGGGTAATCATATTAGTAACATACTTATATTGCATGGACTGGAGAAAATTGTTCAACACGTCCATTGTCTTCAATTAGACCACTCACTCAAGACTTCCTGGGTTATGGTTTCATAACTATTTTATAAGGGACAATATTCTTGGCAGGAAAGTAAAGTGATTATTTTTTATTTTGCAGCCTCTTACTCATAGCCCTACCTCCTCAAATAATCTTAGGAAACACTAATTATTGCCTCTTTGCAGAGAAAAGTTTATTCCTCGAGCAGGTAGAGACTTTTATTTAATTATTAAAAGGTATATTAAATCCTAGCCAAAATGGCTCAGTGGATAGAGCATTGATCTGTGGACCAGAGTCCTGGGTTTGAATTTGGTCAAGAGCATGTACCTTGGTTGCAGACTCCTCTCTGGCCCAGGCCCCGGTCAGGGCATGTGCAAGAGGCAACCAATGGATGCATGTCTCTCACATCGATATTTCTCTGTCTTTCCCTCTCTCTTCCACTCTCTCTAAAAATCAATGGAAAAATATCCTTGGGTGAGGATTAAAAAATATTATATCAAAATGTATTAAATATTTATACATACTTATATATTTATGTGAAATATATATTAATTATGTGTTTATGTTAAATATAAATACATTCAACATAGATATATGCATAAATATAAATTTAATACATTTTATTAAAATAAAATTATATTCTAAAAAGAGCTCATTTCCTACCCCTTGTCAAATGCATCTGAAAATTGACCCTTAGATTTTCATGGTTTAAAATATTTTAGCACCCTAGATGGTGTGGCTCAGCTGGCTGAGCGTCATCCTAATTTCTGGTCAGGGCACGTTGGGTGCCTGTGAGAGGCAACTGATCAATCTCTCTTCTCTCTTCTCTCTTCTCTCCCTCTCTCTCTCTCTCTCTCTCTCTCTCTCTCTCTCTCTCTCTCTCTCTCTCTCTCTCTCTCTCTCTCCCTCTTTCTCATCCTCCTCCTCATCTTTAAAACCAATAAAAACATAAAGAAAAGATTTTAGAGTGCCTTTGAACTGTAGCAGTAAAAGTTCTTTAAGCATGTTATTATTTTATGAAATACTCAGACTAGTGAAACTTAAATTTTTACTCATATAATGATATGCTCCAGGTATTATACAGCATAGTAACTTTAGTACTTGGAATTTTTTTAAACGGGGGTTCTTCAATGAGTTCTCCAGATGTCTTATTGATTTTATCTAGGAAAAAAGATAAGTGGGTTATCAGCATATTAAAATATTAACTCCACATCTGTGATTAGGCATTTTTTTTTAAGCTAAAAAGTGGAGCAAAGAAAAGGAGAGAGGGAAAAAAAATCCCCAAAGATGCTGACAATTTTTTGAGGTAACTCAAAGCAGGGGAAAGAAAAAGGGAAGGTGCTGCCTGAGGTGGGATTCATATGCCTTTCGCTTTGCAAGAGTGAGCAAGCTGGGGTCCGTCCCCAACCAGAGGTCAGGAAGGGCTACTGGGTCAGACACAGTCTCAGATGGTTCCGCCCACGCCTTGCAGTGACTTCGTCCGCCCAGGGCAGTTTGGTAAAGGGAGGCAGCATTGGTTTCCTTGTAAATTGGAAACATCTGTGTGTTTACTACTCAAGACAGAACTTGGGATATAAAGATTTGGGGTTACAAATCAAGGGTTTTCAGGCCTGATTTAGTGGGATCATATCTCAGGCGACCATGTGTCCATCTGGAGATAGGTCGTCAATATTTGGGGCCGAAACTGGTTTTGGCTCAGTGGCTAGAGAATCAGTCTGTGCACTGAAAGGTCCCAGGTTCGATTCCAATCAAGGGCAAGTACCTTGGTTGCAGGCACATCCCCAGTAGGAGGTGTGCAGGAGGCAGCTGGTCAATGTTTCTCTCTCATCGATGTTTCTAGCTCTCTATTCTTCTCCCTTCCTCTCTGTAAAAAAATCAAATATATATATATATATATATATATATATATATATATATATATATATATATATATTAAAAGGAGTGTATTTGGGGACCATTGTGACTGGAGGACCATACTTTCCCCCATGAAGTTAGCCTGAAATTTCAGTTAACTTTGCTTAATACAGGAGTCAATCAAGTTCCATGAGCAGTACGGGCAATCCCCCTACCAGAGTTGTTCTACAGACACAGAAGGAATTCGGACTGAGCCTACACACAGCCCCATTACAGGAATCTTGGTTGCAAGAAAGGATGGAAAAAGATATTGTTACCCGAGTTGACACTGATTCAGGCAGGACTAGAACAAGTGGCCAGAAATCCTTAAACTCTGCTTGGCAGCCCCCTTCCTCTGTTCTAGAGAAAAGTGTCTGGGCTGCTTCAGCTACTTGCCCTCGGACTTTTCAGACTAGCAGAATCATTATTCAACATAATTCTGGAGATTTAATCTCAAGGGGGAGGGGGCTTGCTCCTCTGGAGCGTCCTGTCCATGTCAGCCTGTCTCCCTCTGTCAGAGCCCCACTTCAATGCTTAAATGGCAACAACTGGTCCCAATCCAACTTTCTCTGACAATCCTTTGGGGACCTGAATTGTGGGAATGGAAGTTAGGGTTTTGGAACCTCTTCCCTGGGTCTTCAATAAACCATCTCCTAAGGGAATCAGAGGTACGTGGTCTGTTTTCTTCAACAGCCTCTCTATTCTGTATCTTGACCCAAAAGAACTCAAGAGCTTGTTTACTTGTATGAGCAAAATTCCCACACGTCAACTGTCTCATTAGTGAATGCACTTGAAATGTCCCCGTCTTGGTTATGCCCCAAGGTTTGAAACTGCTCAAAATATTCCAGTATTGTCATGTGGCTTTATTTAATAATTAAGCTTACTGAGCCTGTCATTTACCAATATTGAAATGCCATTGCCAGAAATGCCATGTCTTCCCTATGGACTTCCATCCTCTTTTCCTTGTAATTCTGTTTTGTGCTTATGTGTTTCATAGATAGGAGCTGTCACATGCCTGGGTAATAGATGTGTTATATGTATTTGGAGACTTAATGGCCTTCAAAGGCATCATCAAATAGTTACACTTGATGGAAAGGTGCAAAAGGAAACAATGTTTGAAGCTGAAGGTAGAAAGCAGAAACGAGTAAAAATGTGGGCCTAACAAAGACATACAATTTTCTAGTTCTAAATTTAGTTATTTAATTTTTATTTCCATGCAAACCCAAAGTAGGAGTCTAAGAAATGTAAGCACCTCCCTGCCTTCAGACTTTCTCAGTGCAATAGACATGAGTCTCCTTATTTAGGAATGAAGACTTCTGCCATTAGTGCCATTAAGATCTTTTTCCTACCCAACACTCTAATGCTGTTTGAAATATTGCGTTTTAAGGGATATTTGTATTTGCACTGGTACCTTTCAATACTTACAGTTTTTTAGAGAAAAGTCCACATTAGTTGTTGCTTTCACCGATATTTCAGACTGGGAGCCACTTGGAGTTTGGGTTGTGAACACATCTAGAAGCATAAGACAAAAGTTTTCAGCCATCAGCTAAGTTTAGACTTTTTGGTTCTTTATATTTTTCGTCATCTGATTTTTTAAAGAACATATGCAGTGACTAGTAAAAAAAAAAAAAAAAAAAGAGCCAAAACCGGTTAGGCTCAATGGATAGAGCGTCAGCCTGAGGACTGAAAGGTACCAGGTTGGTTCCAGTCAAGGGCATGTAACTTGGTTGCAGGCATATCCCTATTAGGGGGTGTGCAAGAGGCAGCTGATTGATGATTCTCGCTCATCGATGTTTCTAACTCTCTATCCCTCTCTCTTCCTCCCTGTAAAAAATCAATAAAATATATTTTTTAAAAAAGAATAATAAGTATTTCCGACATTCTTCATCTACAAAATAAGGAAGTGGACAAAGGTCAAAAATAAAATACATGGGGGGAAAAAGCCAAATATCCTTTTGCTAAATGACATTTTCTGAGAAGGAATTATTGGAGAATTTATGGAAAAACATATTTACTAGTAAGTGAATAATAGGTACCAAAGTAGATTTGTAGATGTGTAATATTATCACTGCATTGACATTATCAAAAAGTCAAGTAAGGCCTGGCTGGTGTAGCTCAGTTGGTTGAGCATTGTCCCATGTACTGAAGGGATGCTGGTTCAATTCCTGATCAGAACACATACCAGGTTGTGGGTTGGATTCCCAATTGGGGCATATATAGAAAGCTACTTATTAATCTCTATCTTTCTCTCTCTCTCTCTCTCTCTCTCTCTCTCTCTCTCTCTCTCTCTCTCTCTCTCTCTTTCTCTCTCAAATCAGTGAAAATAAATATTTTTTAGACAGGGAGGAAAATGCCAAGTAAGAAACACTCATTTGCCCCTGAATCTCCTGTTAGACTGTGAAGCAGTTTTGCTTAAAAAGCATATAGTTCGAGCTCGGCCACTTCCCAGCAATCACCTCTTCGGACTTGCCTCACAGCATGGCTCCCAAACACCAGCCCTTGTTCCCATCACAAAAGAAGAAACCGAAACTGGCTCCAGCTCCCAAGCCGGAGGAGAAGTAGCAGACCCCCCCTGACCCTCCCCAAGGGAGAAAAAGAACAGCAAGAAGCTATTGATGAAGCACAAAATGAAATAGACAGACTTCATGAACAAGCCAGTGAGGTGATTTTGAAAGAAGAACAGAAATATAACAAATTCCGTCAACCATTTTTTCAGAATAGGTCAGAATTGATCACCAAAACCTCACATTTTTGGGTAACAACATTTGTCAACCACCCACAAGTGTCTGCACTGCTTGGGGAAGAGGGGGAAGAGGTGCTGCAATATCTGACAAGAGTTGAAGTGACAGAATTTGAAGATATTAAATCAGGTTACAGAATAGGATTTTATTTTGATGAAAATCCTTACTTCGAAAATAAAAGTTCTCTCCAAAGAGTTTCATCTGAACGAGAGTGGTGATCCATCTTCAAAGTCCACTGGAATCAAATGGAAATCTGGAAAGGATTTGACGAAACGTTCAAGTCAAACACAGCATAAAGCCAGCAGGAAGAGACAGCCTGAGGAACAGGAGGGCTCCTTTACCTGGGCTACTGACCATTCTGCTGCAGGTGTCGATGAGTTAGGAGAAGTCATCAAAGATGACATTTGGCCAAATCCTTTACAGTACTACTTGGTTCCTGACATGGATAATGATGAAGGAGAAGGAGAAGGAGATGATGATGATGGTGATGAAGAGGAAGGGTTGGAAGATACTGATGGAAAAGGGGCTGAGAATGAAGGTGAAGAAGATGATGATGAGGGGGAAGTAGAAGAGGAAGATGAAGGAGAAGATGACTAATGAACACGGATGGATTCCAACCTTTTTTAATTTTCTCCATTTCTCCAGCCCCTGGGAGCGAGTTGCAGTCTTCTTTTTTTTTTTTTTTTTTTTTTTTTTTCCTTTTTCTTTTTTAACCCCCCTCCTGTGCTCGGTCACCCTGTTTTTGAGGTCTCTTTTTCTCTCCTTTACACCATGGTTCTCACCTTATTTTGGGGCGGGGCGGGGGGGTGTACCTTGAGCAGAACACAGTGGGAAAATAATATTTGCCCCTTTCTGTTCCAGATTCATTTTTATCCCTTCCTGTCTCAAGAAAAACTTAATGGAATCACCACCACCGTGCTCTGTGGGAAAAAAGAAAAACCTTCCGCTGCCTTAGCTCTGTTGGGAGCTGGAGGCTGCTAGGCCCTTGTGTAGCAGTGCAGAGAGTTCTAGCTTTTTTCCTCCTTTCTCTGTATATTGGGCTCAGAGATTACACTGTGTCTCTATGTGAATATGGACAGTTAGCATTTACCGACATGTATCTGTCTACTTTCTCTTATTGAAGAAAGAAAAAGAAAGGAGGGAGGGAATTATAGAAGGTGAGCCAAGGGTGGGTTTGAGATGTTTGGGTGGATTAAGTGGCCATTTTGACAACATGGCTTCTCCTTTGGCATGTTTTATTGTGATGCTAAATAGACATCCTTGCAGTCTAAGATGACACTTTTAAAATAAAGTTCTCTCCTAATGATGACTGGAGCCCTGACACTCAGGAGAATCAGCAAAACCTGTAGATTCTTATTCAGAATTGACATTTCTCTATTGTAATTTTGTTCCTGTTTATTTTTAAATTTTCTTTTTTGTTTCATTGGAAAGAAAAGACGATGCTCAGTGTTAAACGTTAAAAGTGTACAAGTTGGCTTGTTACAATAAAACTAAATGTGTACACACACACACACACAAAGTATATAGTTCAATAATAATCAAGGTCGCCTACATACTTTCACATTGGCATACGCACAGAAAGGATCCTGCTCTTCATTATTGTAAGTGGAGTTGGTTATAATGCAAAACTAGTAGACATATCCACCCAACCCAAGTCAAATAAATTGGATAAAGATGGCTGATAAACATATATACATGTCTTCTCTTTCCAAAATATCATGGAATGACAGAAAATTTTATACATATGAATGTATACATATTCAATACATATATATATATCTATTCCCCCCAGAACACACACACACACACACACACACACACACACACACACACACCAGTGCTATTAATGTAAATTTTTATAAGTTTCTAGATCTATGGAGACCACAAGGAAATTGCAGCCCAACGTTCATGTTATGAGTTATAAAAGTGTACAAATTAAAATAAGGTGGTATTTGTCCTAGCTAGCTTTGCTCAGTGGTTAGAGTGTTGGCCCCGTGGATGGAAGAATCAAGGGTTCAATTCTGGTCAAAGGCACATATGGTTGCAGGTTCGATCCAGGCCTGGTTAGAGTGTGTGTGGGAGGCAACAACAGATGTGTCTTTCTTACATTGGAATTTCTCTCTCTGTCTCTCTCCCTTCTTCCACTCTCTCTAAAACAATAAAAACCAATGGAAAGAATATATCCTCAGGTCTAGATTAATGACAATAACAAAAACTAATGTGGCATTTTTGCAGAGACAGATCAGAAAAACAAAAAGGGATTAACTAAATTTCAATAAGAATTTAGATTATATTAAATGTGAGTTTTACATGAGTAGGGAATTGGTGTTAGACATTTGGCAATTCCCCTTGAAACATAAAGTTTTATGCCTATTTTATGCCATATATAAAAATAACTGAATTTAAGACCAAAGAGTAAAAAACAAAAATATGAAACTTAAGAAAACTAGAAAAATATTTTAACACCTATTTGGATAAGGTCCATCTAAACAAGATGCACAATGCAGAAATTATAAAGGAATTCAAAATTTATTTTATAAAGTTTAAATTTTTCTCTTTGATTAATATACCTAAATAAGTTTAAAGATAAACCATAGCCTGGAAGAAAATACTAGTTACTTTTACTTTAGAGAAAAGGTTAATATACTAAATATAAAAATATCTCCTATTTAATTTACAAATAAGTAAAAATATAATCTAATAAAAAATGGGCTAATGATAAAAACAGAAAAATCACAGAAGTAGAAATTAAATGCCTGGTAAATCAGAGAAAAATACTCAACTTCACAAGTAATCAGGATGCAAATTAAAAATATAAAGTTTCTCATTTATTCATAAAATATGATTAACACAATTTATTGAGAGATTAGGGAGCATTCTTGGGGGATACAATTTGGAAGGTCCGAATTAAAAGCAATTTGGTGGTATTTATCAATATTTTAAAGGGTTTACCATTTATTCAGCAATCCCAGTACTTGGTATCTATCCAAAGAGAGAGATACCCAAGAGTGTCTGAGAAGAGCATACATGGGAGAAACTGCCCATCATTTAATTCTTTGTAAGATAGAGGATAGAGAGCTCCAAAGTTACTCAATGAGAAGAGTCAGTCATAAGGCAGTTCTTCGCCACAATCCCATTTACATTTTAGGTAAAGGACTTTTTCCTTTACTCAAAGTAATCATCAGGCTCTTGAGTTGTTTGCCTTTGGTTAATTCAAGCATAGGTACAGCCTGAAAAGGAGGGACTGCACCCTGTGGGGCTCAGCAGAGGCAGCTTTTGTTTTGTTGTGTGTGTTTTGTTCTGTTCTTACATTTGAAAGAGGGATAATAATTCCTCAAAGAAAAAATAGAAGTACAAGGTAGGGATTATAGTTCTCGAAGTACTTCATTGTATATGTATTTTTTGATTAATACTAATAAAGAACCCAGAATAACTAGATTTAATCTCAATGTAAAATAATTTTTTAATAAGAGTTTCCTAGGAACTTTTCACTTTTTAGAATGGTGGACGATATAAAGACCTGGAGAGAAAGCCATATGAGGAATGGTGAATAAAGTTTAATGGGCCTTCCACACACTTTAAAGTCATCCTCCATGGGTTGAATTTTGCCACTCCCCCTACCCCCCCAAAAATGTTGAGGTCCTAACCCCCCAGAAACTTGAATATTACCCAATTTGGAAATAGGGTCATTACAGATTTAGTTAAGATGAAGTCACACTGGAATAGGGTGAGCTCTTAATCCGATATAAACAGTATTCTTTTAAAAAAACAACAACAACAACAACACATATTTTATTGATTCTTTTTACAGAGAGGAAGGGAGAAGGATAGAGAGTTAAAAACATCAATGAGAGAGAAACATCGATCAGTTGCCTCCTGCACCCTCCCCACTGGGGATGTGCCTGCAACTAAGGTACATGCCCTTGACCGGAATTGAATCCTTCAGTCCGCAGGCCATCGCTCTATCCACTGAGCCAAACCGGTTTCAGCTGTAAATGGTATTCTTATGAGAAGAGGAAAATTTGGACCCAGAAACAGAGGAAGAATGCCATGTGAAAATGAGCCAGAGATTGGAGTTCTGCTACTACAAGCCAAGGAATGCCTGGGGCTATCAGAAGCTAAAAGAGGCCAAGAGAGACCTGCCCCCCTAAAGATTTTGGGGAGAGTGTGGTAGAGTCAAAATCTGATTTTCAATTTCTGGCCTCTGGAATTGTGAGAGGATTCATTTCTGTTGCTTTGAGCTACCCAGTTTGTATGATTTTGTTTTAGAAGCCCTAGGAAGCTCATGCACAACTCCAAAGAAATTCTGGTTATCTCACCATAGAATTAAGTTAGTTGTTACTCATGTGAATAAGTAACCATAATGCTACAATGGAGCCCATGTTAATTATAGACAATTACCAAGGTAACCTCATTAAACTTTGTAACATCTCAGGAAGAAGTCGCAAAAATGAAAAAAAAAATTCATTTTACATACTGAAATGTCTATATGGTAAATTTAAGAAATAGAAAATAATGTGATTATAGTTTTTTAAAAAATTAAGTCAAACCAATATAATTAGTTCTTATATATGTATTACTATAAACACTTACAGTTTTTTTCCTCTTTAAAATGATGGTCATTTTTATCATAAGGGATGTCATGCCTAATTTCTTCTTTATGTTCTTCATCAACTAGAGGTTCCATATAAACCTCTGAAAAAAAAAGTATGGCATACCATAGATCAGAAATATGTTAATTTCTTTGAAGGACTTCCATTTTTTTCCACAAGTGATTGGAGGCAGAGACTTAACTTCTAAACTGTACCAACAATAAAATTGCCAAACATCAATTTTCTAGGATAATGTCTGTGAAAGCTTCCAAGGCTTACCCACCTACATTACTGGGAGTCAAGGTACTAATCTCTGAGGAATAAACCCCAGATAAACAAATAAACAATATGAAATTCATTGGGATGCTGTGATTGATTGCCAATGTCCTGTGTTTCTCGGAGCTTCCTTCCAGGTGCCAGCAGGTCCTGTAACTAGCCAGGACATTATGACGTCACCGACAACAGGTCAGAATGCTGGGGAAGGATCTCCCAATGCTTTGTGACTCAATCTGCTATCTGTTTTATCCTGAAATTCTAATGGCCTTTGGTTTTAAGAAATAAAACATTATGAGATTTTTTTTGAAAATTAAGAAATATGTATTTATAAAATAATGAGAATTATTGGCCCCTGGATTTTATCTCACTTAAAAATTATTTTTTTCAATTATGGTTGTCAATAGTATAATAGTTGTAGGGCTCCAGCATAGTGGTTACACATTTATGTAACTTATGAAGTGACCCCCTGCCCCCCGAAGGTCCCCAGGATTTTAAAGAAGCATTAATTTTGTTGCCAGTAAAACTGGTTTTCAAAGCATTACAACAACATCTGTTCTTTTGGATAACTGAAGTGAAAATGTTTGTTAAAAGCTAATTGGAGACACCGACATTTAATTCAAATGCCCAGCATGTTATGGTTCATGGAAATATTTTACTTACATATTTTATGATGAAACCCATCTTTTGCCTTACATACATTGATAAAATTATATATTTAGTTAGTCAAAA